AATGCTGCTTTAGCTGAAGCAGAAAACACCAAAAAAAGTACTTTTCAGGATATTCGGAAGTTGTCTGTTGATGCGCAAAGCAAAATGTCCTCCAACGGAAGGACCACGAGGAACTCTAATGCATATGGGAAGACAAAGAGCACTGAAGTTGAACTGCCTAGCCTAGACAAGTTCCTGGTGAAGCGCTTGACGAGACTCGAAAGAGAGGTATTGGAAGCCAAAATTGCCCGAAGAAATGAAGCAACCAAAGGAAGTAATCCAAAGCTAGATAAATCTGAAGACGAGAAGCTTTTTTCAGAAAATGAGAAAGACATTGACAAGGCAACTGTAAATGATGAACTAACCAAAATGAATGGCGAAAAATTGGAAAAGATGATTACGGTACCAGCTAACTGTGGAAAACAAGATTTTTCAGAAGTTCCTAGTCTAGATAAGGTTTTGGTGAAACATTTGTCAAGACTTGAAAGGGTGGTCCAGGAAGCAGGGAGCAGAAAAAATAGTGATGGAGGAGGTTTAATAGACAAAGAAAACATGGACATGAATAAAATTGGCGATAAAAATGTAGACCCAAATTTGTTGGTTGAAGAAACATTACCGAAGGCAGGATTATCATCATTTCAAGATGAAAACGATGGAAGAAAAAAGGCAGAAAATAATCTTGATAAGATTGTTGTCGAACCAGATCTTATGTTGCAAAGGACAAAAAAGGAAAGACCATCGTTGAGAAGTGACGTTGGAGTTTTGAGGCACCAAAGAGAATATGGAGGAAATAGTTCCACAAATTATGAAAGTTTAGATAATGTTTTAGTGAAGCATGTATCGAGGTTGGAAAGAGAGAAGACAAGATTTCATACAGAAGAAGATACTAGGATGAAATTGAAGAGAAAGGACACAAATAGAGAATCAGAGAGTTTGGATCAGGTTCTAGTTAAGCGCAAGTCCAGACTCGAAAGAGAGAAAATGACCGTTGCTGAGGTACAAGACGATCATATTAAACATCCAGTTTCTCGTCGAGAGGCTAGGGACAGAGAGTTGTGGGAAGCATGGGGAGGCTTGAGCTTGGGAAACTCAATACGGCCTCATGTCTCTAGGCTTGAAAGAGACAAGGCAAGTACTCCACTCTTGTTTTGTTCAATTCTATATGTCATAACGCATTCGTGTTTTTATTTAACCGAAGCTGAATTTCATTTGGCAAACTCGAATACAGCCTAGTGCCTCAAGACTTAAACGAGGCAGGGCAAGTTTCTCTCATTTTGCTAGATTCTACAGGTCATAATGCATTATTGTTTTGGTTTTTGCTTTGCTATTGTCAAACTTCACTTAAATTTCATTCAGGAAACTTGATACAACCTCATGTCTCTACACTAAAACGGGACAAAAGAAGTCATTTCATTTTCACTGTGTCATAATAATTCATTATTTATGTTCTTGATTTACTTACGTTACCTTTTCTTTTTGCTGTGATGTTTAAATTCTTACTTTTAGGCTGCATGGATTAAAGCTGAAGAAGAGGAAAGGAGGAGGGCATTAGTGGAACAAGTTTGAGGTTCGGAACCATTTTGTTATGTTTTGAAGAACAAATCAGTCACTGAGAGTTGTGACAGTTCTTTAACCATTGTTGTTAATATGGTTATTCACAACAGTCTAACATTGCTATTGTTCGGCTAAAGATTTTCGATTTTATTTCTCAATCACATTTTCAATGAAGCTGTCAGTAATTTTCCATTCTTCTTTACTTTTATGGCTCAGTGTGGACAAGAGATCCAGTTACTGTTTGCTTGCCCTAAATATCACTTCATTGAATTGTTGACAGCTTAAGTGACTGACTTTAAGTTCTTGCTTCATAACACGTCCGTTAAACTCAAAAAAGTTACTTTTTCTACAAATATGAAAAGACATACTTTTGAGTTACTTTTAATCTTAGCCAAACAAGTTTACTGAACTAGTACCATTTTGATTAATTATTAAGTCTAAAGCTATGATTTAACATAGTTTCAAGGCCAGCGGGCATTTTGTATCTAACAACTAACCCATAAAATGGTTAAAAAGGATTAATGTGGACAACTTCTAATTTAGAAGTGTCAAATTGAAGCCAGGCTTTATTGCTTCTTCATCTAATAATGGACCAAACAAAATGACTAAAAATGATTCACATAGTCGATTCTAAATTTTAAAAGCTTCAAATTGGCCGAACTGGGTTGGCCTTGTTAAGGTCTTTGATTAAGGCACAATAACAAGGCTTGATTTTTCCTTTTTGTCACATTGTCTAGTCTTTACATGATTAAGAAACAAATTTGAGTATGTCTAAAAAATTCATGGATGCTAATTTAAAAATTGTTGCAACAAGAGTGGAGAGCTGGGTGTTGTTTGGATTTGGGTGCTAATCGTCAGTAGTGCTGATTATGAGTACTTTATATTGCAATCTATGAGAACATTTTATATGTATATTGAGATGTGAAATTGATCGGGATAAATCTTATACGGTATATAATCAATTAATAAGGGATTAAACTACTCTTATTATGTGATTCCATCTTTCTATTTTTGAGCTTGTTTGATGATCATTATTGTAGAAAAAAAAGTTTTGAATTGTTATTTTTAAGAGAATGCGTAACTAAAAAGTAGGGAAATGTTTTTTTTATACGTGTAGAATATTTTTATAATTGAAATGTGTGGTAAAAAAATGATTATAAGCAAGTCATAAAATAAATTAATGGTTGTCAAACGGCGCTTAATTATCTCAATTTGGCCTAATTAATAGATTCGTAAAATTTAAGGAAAAGACAATTTTGCCCTTTTCTCAAATAAATAAATAAAATAAAAATAAAGTAGAGAGAGTATCGTCATCGTCTAGTTTTCAACAATAAGCTTACCCTCATCCCCACCCCAAGCCCCCTCGCTGCCGTCAGACCGCCACCACCTTCTACATGTGGATCTGGTAATAGAGTTTATAGTGTCTTCATAATTAAAGAAATTTCTATGTTACATTTTGTTAAATGGGTATGGTTCCATAGGAAGCCATTAGTTTGCTGCTTATGCTCTTCCTAATCTTTATTTTACAACCCATTTTTCTTAATTTCTTTATCTTTCTATTCATGATAATCCTTCTTGAGGAATTTGTTAATTTATTTATTTTTTCTATTTTTGATTACTTTTCTTGGGGAAATCTATGCAATTAAAGAGGCACTCAAGAGTATTTCAAGTTTACAGTATTGTCTTCACTATGTTCATTCGTTACTATAATGATCTTCTCTATTGCATTTTATAAATTGACATTCAGGCGACAAGTACGTTGAAAGACTAGGATATCTTATTTAAAGTGCGATATTTGTCACTTATTTGAAGCACGCTAATAAAATATTTAGGCAGAAACAACGTGAGGACTATATGTACTCATTAAAACAAAATTGAGGATGAAAATGGGATTAAAAAAATTAAGTTGTGAATATTGTGGGCTAATTATATTACCACTACAAATTTTATTAAGTGCACCACAATTTTTAATAATTTTCTTATTCACTTAATTAGCATTGAATAAAATTAAATAATTAGGAGTTTAATATACTTTTTAATAAATAAATAAAATTATTGTTCCACCACAAACATAATTTAAATTTCTTCTTTCTTTTTCTTCAACATCCGACTTGTACATACCTTTTTCGTCGATGGGGATTTTTTCTTTTTTCCACAACAATAAGATAATTTTCTTTTTCTTACTATAAACATTGGAAATTTCGACAATTCAAAGAGAATTTCATCTTTTATGTTCCAATCTGTCACTAGCTACAGTAGAATTTCTTATGTTCAAATCGCTGACATAGAACTAATTTCATGCTTTTCTTTTTTTAACTCTTTTCCATTTAACTTTGTAGAATGCTTTCTTTTGTGCTCCATTAATTTTTCTATTAAATTTGATGAGGATGAGAAGAAAAAATGTCATGGGTGTGGTTTCTATTATGGTGAACGTATTAACTTTCAACTCATAAAACAAAACCGACAATCACCCAAGGCGAAGGTCTTCCTGGCGTTAGCCCCCACCAAGGCCGCCCATGCCTTTCTCAGTTGAGGAGTAATATTAAGATAATGAGTATAACATAATTTTGTAGGTTTTTTTTTCTTTTCATTTTTCATTTTATTAGATTAGGAGTATAACTTTATATTTATTGTTTATTAAAAATATATTTTAAATATAATGTGATTATACTATGATATAGTAGCCTGTTTGCCAACTATTATTGTAGGAAAAAAAGAGTTTTGAATAGTGATCTTCAAAAAAATGTGCGGTCAAAAGTAGGAATTTTTTTTTTATATACTTGTGGAATATTTTATTACGTAAATATATGATTGAAAGTGATCATATATCAAACTATAAAATAAATTAATCGATGTTAAACAAGCACTAAGTAAATTTCGTGAATTACTTCTAGGGTACTTATATTCACACCATAATTTTTATTTTTGTACCACATTTTAATTGTATTTAAAGTTTTTAATCTTTGCTCATTATAACCACTTATATCCATGACATTTTTATCCTTAAATTTTTTATTAATTAACATATTTTATATTTGATAATAGTTTTATGTTCCAAAGTTCATTGAAATGGCATAAAACAAGTTATTCTTCCTCCATATTTTTAAAAATAAATAAATAAAAAGTGCAAAAAAAATTTTTTTCCTTATTTCAAAATATAAAAACAAAATATTTTTATATAGAGCATCATCAAGGATGAGATGGACTGATTAATGGAAGATTGAAAATAAGAATTCGATGAAAAAAGTTAAAGAAATAATTGCTACAATGAGCAAAAATTGAAAAATTTCACTGCAATTAAAAAGTTGTATAATAAATAAAAATTGTAGTTTCAATAGAACCTATTCGCATCTGGGTCTCTAACTATATGTAAGTCCAAATATACCCCTAACAAAATAAAAAATTCCAAGTAAAAAAATCTAGGGTTTTGACGTGGCTCATATAAATACTCTCGTTTCACAATTTGTGCAGAAACCTCCACTATTCTCCGTAATTAGGCCTCTTCACTTACAAACCCTAGCGGCATTTGGTTCAGCAGAAGAGGAAGATGGGACACTCCAACATCTGGAATTCTCACCCTAAGACCTATGGCCCTGGCTCCCGCACCTGGTATAACCATCTGAATTCATTAATCAATGTTAATTTTTGGATTTGATGTTTGTTATTTCTTTTATTTGTTGGTGTATGATTTTGTTAATCTTCTTCTGTATCTTGTTATTGATGAAAAGTGCGCAAATTTTGTTCTCTGAAGGGACTTGAGAAGTTGTTTAGTAATTTGAACAGTTCTAGTCAATTGATCCGTGGTTTTTAAATTTAAAGTTCCAATACCACAATCATTACGAAAATTACTAGTTTATTGTCTTATAGTTGTTTATTTAAATCCACACTCAAAGTGCTGGCGAAATTTTCTGGCTAGTCATAAACGTGTATGTGATGGCTTTAAATGATTCGTTATTTGGACTTCCTATCTCATAAAATTCTTTGCAAACCCTCTTGTAGATTTTATACGGATTTCTGCTTTGCTTGATAATTTAGAAACAAGAAAGTGGGAACAGGAAAGTGAACTTTATTACTCTCAGAAATCAATGAAATAATTCACAGTAACATGCTCTATTTATAGAGCTGGAAACCAACGAACTGCAGCCACTAACCCACTAACTCCTGATAAAATGCTAAAGACTTGGTAAATGCAAAACAAACTCTAATTTGACTGGGCCAAAACAAGCTACGTTCCTAAATAAAATAAATACAATTTATCAACTTACCTAAAAACTAGGACAATAGCAATTAAATAGTCTTGGACTTTTTCAACAGTCCCTCCCTTAAACTGATGTTTCAACATTCAGTTTAGTGAAGGCTAGTTCCAAAGCGTCCTCCTTCAAATTGAATCATCCAAAGAGCAAACATCAAGCATCTTTCTTAGCTCCTGAAATGCAGGCAATTTGAGGGGCTTGGTTAGAATATCAGCAATCTGATCATCACTTCTGTAGTAGACCAGATCAATGACTTCTTCCTTTGTAAGATCTCTTAGAAAGTGATATCTTACATCTATGTGCTTGCTCCTTCCATGTAAAACCGGATTTTTTGACAGCTCGATCGTTGAGATATTATCACAGTAAATTGTTGTGGCGCCCTCTTGGTTGAAATGCAATTCTTCAAGAATTTTTCTTAGCCAAATTGCTTGACAAACACATGCTGTTGCAGCTACAAATTTCGCTTCAGTTGTTGATA